GTTTATCTTGCTCCCCATCAACCTCAATTCAAACTCAACTTCTACTTATTATTACAAATATACAATAAAAAGTAAATTAATGGTTGTTGGGACTGAGTAATTAGTGTTTCTGCACATTTCTATAACATTTTTATTTTACTACTAAAACTTAATAATAATTATTTGGGAAAATTTCAAATTTATTCTAGTATCCCAGAAATTATATATATATATATATATATATATGTATTTGGAGAGATTTCTGCTATAGAGCGCGTGCACTCACCAGAAAGACAGAGAGAGATGGAGAGATAGAAAGTGAGAAATCACCCTCCAAGGGGGGTGGCCACGCCACAAGCCCTTCTCTCCTCCATTCTCCTCTCGGGATCTTGGGCACGCACGCACATGTGCCTGGCCTGAGTTTAAGCCACCAGGTCCGGGATTCAAACCGCGGTTGACTACATGGAAGTCCAGTGACATAGTCATTATGCCAACTGCTGGTCCCTATAATGCTGATCTTTAACTCCAGCCAATTATTGGTTTTAATGCTAAGCCTATCGGCCCAAATATATTGAGTACACTTGAGATCAATACATATCTTTTATTAAAAAAGACAGGATGACAATCATCAAATTAGACTGTAAGAATACTACATTACCTGTCTGTGAGAGGCTGGGAGGGCATTCTTTTACTCAATGATGGAAGATCCAGGGAATCTGGTTTCTTATCCATTCTGCAACATGCTTGAATATTTAAATACTTAAATATGTGCACTTTACCCTTTAAACATATCTGTCAATAAATAAAGAAGCAGATTTAATTATATAGTTACAAATATAAATGGCATCTATTACTTTATTTATACATTTTAATAATTTCAAATTATGTAGAGACTGACTGATACTTTCCATAAAGAATTTGTACTTCTGCCACTACATGGAGCAATCTGATAGCACTGATACCAATACTGTTCTTATTGAAAAAAGTAAGTTATTTTTTCTATATTTCACTCAAACTTTCATATTAAAGCAGAATGTACAAACACCACTACACAACATAAAATGTACAACACATGAAAGTTGCCTTTTTTAGAGAAAATGAAAAGAAATATATTCATTAGAGTAATGAGAACAGAATAATCTATGTAATTCTTCCAAGTAATCACATCAGAATCACTAAGATATTTGGTATAAAAACTGGGAAGAGGATAATATAAAAGAATGTAAATGTGGGAAACATGAATCTGTTAAAAGGTACCATAGTGGGGTTGGTTAGAATAAAATAATGAAAGAAAATATTAGGGCCTGGCTCAGTGGTATATATAACATTATTCAAGCAATGCTGGATCCATACGGAAGATCATGGGTTCAGTTCCCCAGGCAACTTTTACATGCCAGGTGCATATGCCCATGATCTTGACTGACTAGGAAAGCTTGAGGGGAAGGGAAGTCATGGTGTAAGACACTGTTAAAGGTATTCATATCTCTCTCTCTCTCTTTTTCTCATTCTTGCTTTCACGAAAGAAATAAACTAAAAACAGAAATTGGCCTAGCGCTGGAGGCACAAGTGGGAGGACATGGCTGTGCAATGCTTAAGGTCACGTGGGAGGTGTGGGTTTACTTCCTGGTTGGGTATAGTAGTGTGTGCCTGAGGTCCTAGCTACCAAGAGGCTGGGCAGGAAGGATTACAATGTGGCAAGAACCTGTCAAAAACACCTAATCTCTCTCTCTCTCCCTCTGGTGCTTTTCCACTCTTAATAAGAAAAAAGAAGGGGGGCCAGCAGGCAGTGTGGTGGATAAAGGCACTGGATTCCCACATGGCCGACCATGGTTCAAGTCCCGGACCTGGTGGCTTGCTTTCTCGCTTTCCCTTTCTCTCTCTCTCTCTCTCGCTGGAGGTCAAATAACAAAAACTAACAATAACAAATGGAATTAAATAAATAAATAATACTTTAAAAAAAGAAAAAAAAAAGAAGTAAGAAAAGAAAACATTGGTCAGTCTGACTAGGATAATATCCTGAGAAATTATTTTCATTAGCGATGGGAAAAAAGAATAACATGGGAGTAAAATACTATTCAAAAGACAATATTCTCTATAAAAAAGATAGAAAATGAAAGGTTAAGAAAACTGTAAGTCAACTTTACAAAAGTTAATAAAAGTCATTACTCATGATAGCAAATAAATATTTCCCAGAAATTCTAATAAAAAATGTTTTGTTTTATGGGTTCACATAACCTTACTTCACACGCAAAAACTAATCACCACCAATAACAAAAATCACAAGACGAGTACATTAAAAGGCAATAATTATTCCAGGTGAAAAGGATGGATGTTGGGAACAGCAGTTGGTGTAATGGCTATGTTGAATACATAGTCAACCGTGGTTCAAGTCCTGGACCCGGTAGCTTAAAACTCACACCTGGCATGTGTGCATGTGTGCCCAAGATCCCGAGCGGAGAATGGAGGAGAAGGGATTGCGGTGTGACCATCCCCCCGGGGAGTGATTTCTCACTTTCTGTCTCTCTGTCTCTCTGTCTTTCTGGCGAGCGTACAAGCCCTATAGCAAAACCCTTTCCAAAAGAAAAAAAAAAAAAGGAAAGGATGAATGTTTCTTAAATAATTCTAATAGACACTAGGTCTGACCTGATCATTAAAATTTTTTTTTAGGAGGAAAATAAATTAAATAGTATCCTATTACCTAGGCAAACTAAACAAATGTTTATCTTTCAATATCAAATTAAATACTGGTGAATTATTTACTTTTGTAAATTTTAACTTTTACTTTTAACATAGTAGTTCATATACATAGTTTTAAAAATCAAACAGAATTACAAAGCTGATAAAAATAATCTTCCATTCTACTTTTTTCAAACTCCTAGATTTAATCCCCACTTTTTTTTTTTTTAAGGTTTTGTCAGAATGTGTGTGTGCTCGCCAGAGAGAAGCAGAGAGAGGGAAAGTGAGAAATCATCCCCCATAGGAGGATGGACACACTGCAATCCCTTCTCGTCCGTTCTCCTCTCGGGATCTTGGGCATGCACGAACATGTGCCTGGCGTGAATTTAAGACACCCGGTCCGGGACTCGAACCGCAGTCAACTACATGGGAGTCCAGCGACATAGCCACTGCACTAACTGCTGGTCCCTAAATCTTTGCTATTATTATAGCTATATCACAATTACTCACTAAGTCAAAATTCAGTATTTATATTAGTATGACCAAGAAAAATACCCACAGATGAACCATATGTAGAGTTGGATGGTATTTCCTTTCACCTATAATAATTTTTCATAAAGTGATTATTGGTCCTGATTTTTTCCTTTGCATTTAAATTTTTTAAAATTTTATTTATTTGTTCACTTATTTTAATTTGACCGGGGGAGGGAGGTGAGAAAGCAAGCCACCAGGTCTGAGACTTGAACTATGATCAGCCATGTGAGAGTGTCCAGTGCCTTAACTACCATGCCACCTGCTGGTCCCCCTTTGCATAATTTTTCTATGCCTATAAACTTATTTATGACTCTGACAGAACTGCAATACACCTCTCCAAGTGGAAAAGCACATCAAGTCATCTCTCATTTTCTTCTTATTTTTAAAACTATTTTATTAAGCCACCAGGTCTGAGACTTGAACTATGATCAGCCATGTGAGAGTGTCCAGTGCCTTAACTACCATGCCACCTGCTGGTCCCCCTTTGCATAATTTTTATATGCCTATAAACTTATTTATGACTCTGACAGAACTGTAATACACCTCTCCAAGTGGAAAAGCACATCAAGTCATTTTTCATTTTCTTCTTATTTTTAAAACTATTTTATTTTGGGAAATAACTCTCTTACTCCAAACTGACTGGTTGCTCTCTAGGGCTATGCATACCTATCAATCTTGGATGTGAAGAATTCCTTTTATTTATTTATTTCTTTTTCAGTTGCTTCCCTTATTTTACTAAAGTACACTCTGCTAGTTTCCTAAGAATGTGTGCATGGGGGTTAAAATTCCTGAAACCTCACATATTTGAAACCTTTTTCTACCTCATATCTGACAGACAGGTTGAGTGTAGAAAGCTGAAAATACTCCCTCAGTCTCAGAAGGCCTTCTTTGAACATCTGCTAGCTGCTGCTGCGAAGTCTTTCTGATTACCATGCCTATAAATATGCTCCAATTTTCTCTCCTTAACTTTTTCCCATGACTTTATTGAAGTATGAGTAATAAAAATTGTATATATTTAGGGTATACAATGTGATGCTTTGATAAACGCACACATTGTGAAACGAATACCACAATCAAGATAATGAAAATACCCACAATCTCACACACTTGTTCTTGTGTGTAGTGAGAACATTTGACCTCGATTTTCTTAACAAATGTCAAGTATACAACACAGTATTATTGACTATAATCACCGCGTTACACATTAGGTCTCCAAGTACTTATCCATCTTATATCCAAAGGATGGCACCATGTGCCAAATATCTCCCCTTTCCCTTCAACCCCTGGTAACTAACTAACATTCTACTCTCTGTCACGATGAATTTAACTATTTTTGTTTCCACACAGAAGTGAAATCATACACTTATATTTGTCTTTCCATGTAGTTTTTTTTTATTTTTGAGAGACAGATTTTTGCAATAGGTCGCTTGTACGCATCGGAGAGAAGAGAGAGCCAGAAAGCAAGAAATCACCCCCCCTGGAGGGATGGCAGCACTGCAAATGTTCCTTTTCCATCCTCCTCTCAGACTTCTAGGCACGTCCTCACATGTGCCCGACGTGAGTTTTAAGCCGCCGGGTCTAGACTCTAACTGCGGTTGACTACATGGGAGTTCAGAAACATAACCATTACACCACCAGCTGGTCCTGAAATACCCTTTCTAATAAATCAGCAATAGTAAATAAAGTGTATTTCTAAGTTCTGTGAGCCACTCTAGCAAATTAATTAAATTCCAGGAGGGGACTGTGGGAACCTGGATTTATAACAAAGTACAGGTGGACAATTTTATGGAACTGAGCCCTTAACTTGTGGGATCTGATACTATGCCTACGTAGAGCATGTCATAACTGAAGTGAATTCTAGAACACTCAGTCAGTATCTGCTGGACAACTGCTTAGTGATGGGGAGAAATCCCTACCAGAGGTGACCAGAGGTAAAGTATCCTGTACTGAGTAATAGCATAGAGAAAACATTTTTGTTTTTCTATTTCTTGTGGATATACTCCTGTAAATGTGATTATAAGATTTATTTTAAATATGGTTCTATTTTAATTTTTTGAGGAAGCACCAAACATTTTCATAATGGCTATACCATTTTACCTGCCCATGAAGAATGCATGAGGGTCCCCTTTTCTAACAGCCATTATACTTGCTCTTGCACTCGCAATATTTATAGCAAATTTTAATCAGAAATAAAATTTTAAATAAGGGCCAGCAGGTGGCATGGTAGTGAAGGCGCTGGATCTACCATGACCCACTCCACAGTTTGAGTGGCAAACCTAGGGGTTTGAAAGCCTTCCAGGCATATGTGCATGTGTGTGCAAACCCAGAGAGGAGAATGGAAGACAAAGGATTGTGGCAGGGCCATTCCCCCTGGGGGGGATGATTTCTCACTTTCCTTCTCTCTGTGTTTCTCTCTCGCTCTCTCTCTCTCTCTCTCTCCCTCTCTCTTGCAAGCGCACACACACCGAGGCAAAAAATAAAAACTCTCAATAAAGAAAGAATAAAGGTTTATCTGGCTCATGATTCGGATGTCTGCAAAATCCAAAGGCATGGAATTGGCTGACTACATGACAATAGGTTGACAAGAGCAGAGAGGATGGCAGGGGCGTTCAGAAAGAGAGATCTGAGGGTAGCCATCTTTCTTTTATAATAATCTTCTCTTGCTCTCGTGGGAACTAACTGCTTCTCATGAGAGTGAAAACTTATTTGGTCTCAAGGGACATTATTAACCCATTCATGAGGGCAATGCTCCATGCTCTAATCACTGCCCTCTAGGCCCCACCTCTTAAAAGTTTCACAACCTCCCAAAACCATTACTGGGGACCACATTCCAAAACATGAACCTCTGGGGGACAAACCATTATCCAAATAATAGCAGCCATCCTAAGATATGTGTGATGCTACCTCATTGTGCTTTTGAATTGCATTTTTCTGATGATTAGTGATATTGAGCACCTTTTCATATAATTGTTGGCCATTTGTATGCTGAATTATTTTTTTAAAGAATTATTTGTTTAATTTCATTTATTATTGTTGTTATTTTTTGTTTTCATTTGACAACAGAGAGAGGAAAAGCAAGAAAGCAAGCTGCCAGGTCCAGGACTCGAACTATGGTTGGCCATGTGAGAGTCCAGTTCCTCAACTAGTATGCCACCTTCTGGTCCCTGTATGCCTTCTTTTAAAAAAATGTCTATTCAGGTCCTTGGTCAAGTTTGGTTTTTATTATTTTTTTTATTTTAAATTTTTAAATTTTATTTCTTTTCTTTTTTGGAGAGGTTTTGTTTTATTTATTTTTTTCTTTTTTGGTTTTTGTTTGTTTGTTTGTTTGTTTTGCTATAGGGCACGTGCACTCGCCAGAGAGACAGAGAGAAACAGAGAGATAGAAAGCGAGAAATCACCTCCCAGGGGGGATAGCCACACCGCAATCCCTTCTCCTCCATTCTCCTGTTGGGATCTTGGGCACACACGCACACGCGCCCAATGTGAGTTTAAGCCACCGGGTCCGGGACTCGAACCACGGTCGACTACATGAGAGTTCAGCAACATAGCCATTACACTAACTGCTGCTCCCCAGTTTGGTTTTTAGCCATTGACATCATTATATATTGTAGATATTAACTGTTTATCAGGTATGATCAGGTATATGGCTTACATATATTTCTGTGTATCTACATGCAAAAATATTAGCATGTTCAAGGCCAGCAGGTGGCGTAGTGGTTAAGGTGCTGGACTCCCATATGGCTGGCTGGGCCCAGTGGCTTGAAAATCATGCCAGGCACAGGTCTGTGTGTTCCAAAATCTCGAGAGAATGGAGGAGAAGGGACTGCAGCATGGCCATCTCCCCTGGGAGGTGATTTGTTACTTTCTGTCTCTCTGGCGAGCGCTAGAGCCCTACAGGAAAAAAATCGTTCTAAAAAAAAAAAAAAAGCATAATCCATTTTGTTTCAATAGAAGCCTTTCAGAGTTTTGGTCTCTTTTTCATGGTAGAGATTATTCCTGTAATGTCTACTGATCCTTGGATATCTGTTTATTTTCAAGAGAAAGACAAAAAGTCAACTGGAAGCCGAGTGCAATAGCACATGACTGTAGTCCTAACTTCTCAGGAGGCTGAGGCAGGAAGACTGTAAGTTTGAGGCCAGCATGAATAATACACCAAGACCCAATCTAAAAGAAAAACAAAACAAAACTAAAAAAACTGGAAGTTCTGTGTACATGAGGGAAGTTTACTGATGGTGAGTTTCTATCTGTCTGGTGATCAGACAAGAACTGGCCATTTCACCAGGGGATTTCCCCCCCCCAAATCAGTATATAGATAGGTGTTTCTCCTGGTTCAATCAGTTTACCAAAGAAGAAATTCATCAATCCTGTCCGACATAGATAAGACAGGCTGAAGCCCTCCGGGAGCCAAGCAGAAGTCTACTAGAGGCTCCCAACATTTAGAGTACGTAAGCATTCCATTTTCAGTGTGGAGTCTCACTTCTTTTTATTTTTTTTAAACAAGAATGAGCCTTCGGTCAACTTTTTTTTTGTTTTGTTTTTGTTTTTTTTTTTTTTGGAGAGATTTTCACTGTAGGGCCCTTTCACTGTAGGGCACGTGCGCTCGCCAGACAGACAGACAGAGACATAGAGACAGAAGGCGAGAAATCACCCCCCAGGGGGGATGGTCACGCCGCAATCCCCTCTCTTCTCCTCTCGGGATCTTGGGCACGCACGCACACGCGCCCGGCGTGAGTTTTAAGCCACCGGGTCCGGGACACGAACCGCGGTCGACTACGTGGGCGTCCAGCAACATAGCCATTATGCTAACTGCTGGTTCCCCTGGAGTCTCACTTCTGTCTACAGCTCTACGCAAAGCCTCTAACTCTGATCTAGTCTCTCTACAGCTATATTGTCCACTATGGTAGCCACTAGTGATATGTGGCTATTTACATTAATTAAATCTAAATACAACTAAAAAGTCACTCTCTCATAGTACATACTTTCAAATACTCAACAACTATTAAACAATATTGAACAATATAGGTAAAGAACATTTATGCTACCATACAAAGTACTAACGGACAGTGTTTCTCTAAAGAGTCAATTCCATGTTTCTGCTGAGGAAAGTGAGGGCTAGTCATGTGGCTGCGGGGCTAAGGGCAAGAATCTGAGGGTGTAAATCTTAGACCTGGAGTGTCCAAGATCTAACTACACCAATCACATGTAGTTATTTACATTTACATAAATAGAAATGAAATCGATTAAATAATTGCTTCCCCATTCACAGTAGTCATATTCTAAGCATTCAATAGCCAAATGTGGCAAGTGGCTACAGTATTGGATAGCGCACATTCTAGAACACTTCCATCATCCAGAATGCCCTACTGGACAACACGGCCTTAGCTATTCCAAAGTCGAGATTTTGGTCCTTCATCCCACCTGTAACAGTGGGAGCTATGTGTTTCCTTCAATACCTGAGCCATTGCCAGGTCTGACACTGTAAATCAACTTGTTTCTCATTGGCTTCTACCAAAGTAGACATGAGTTTTAGCTTTCCTCATTTTTCCCAGCCGCTCCCAAGACTCCAGACAGTCTTTATTTGAATTAGAAAAGGTATTCCTTTTGTAATAAATGGAATGTGTCTTTAAAAGGTAAAAGAGGAACCCTTCTTCTGATGTATGCAGACCCTGTACCAGGACACACATCTTGGAAGGCTGCCAGTTCACTGCCATGTACTGCTCAGCCATCTACGCTCATGCAGTGTAAGCAAGGGTACTAGTGACCACTATTCTTTCCATTCGTCCCTTTGTTGACATCTCCTCCCTCCTGTTCTCTTTCATATTCTCTGTCCTTATGGGTTTACATCTTAGTGTATTCTTTTACTATTATTTTTCTGGATTTCACAATGTATTTAATCCTCATTAAATTACAAGTCAGGGACTAGCAGATGGCATAATGGTTACATCGCTGGACTCCCACATAGTCAACTGCAGTTTGAGTCCCAGACCTGGTGGCTTGAAATCCATGATGGGAAGAACCAGCAGTTAGCGTAATGGCTATGTCGCTGGACTCCCACGTAGTCGACCGCGGTTCGTGTCCCGGACCCAGTGGCTTAAAACTCACGCCGGGCGCGTGTGCGTGCGTGCCCAGGATCCCAAGAGGAGAATGGAGGAGAAGGGATTGCGGCGTGACCATCCCCCCTGGGGGGTGATTTCTCACTTTCTGTCTCTATGTCTCTCTCTGTCTGTCTGGCGAGCGCACGCACCCTACAGTGAAAATCTCTCAAAAAAAAAAAAATATGCATGATGGGTAAGTGTGTGTGCATGCCCAAAGTCCCAAGAAGAGAATGAAGGAGAAGGGATTGCAGCATGGCCATCTCCCCAGGGAGTAATTTCTTATTTTCTGTTTCTCTGTCTCACCAGTGAGCACACGTAACCTATAGCAAAAATCTCTCTTTAGAAAAAAAAAAAGAGTCCAAATTAATACTTTCCATTTGCAGACCAGAAGATGGTGTAATGGTTACATTGCTGGATTCCCACATTATCAACTATGGTTTAAGTCCCAGACTCAGAAACAAAATTCACACCAGGTGCATGTGCGTGCAGGCTCAAGAGGAGAATGGAGAAAGGACTACAGCATGGCCATCTTCCCTGGGGGGGAGGGGTGTGATTTCTTGCTTTCTATCTCTCTCTGACTCTCTGGTGAGTACATGCGCCTATATAGCAAAATTCTCTCTTAAGAAAAAAAAAAAACTTACCATTTGTATTTTGTTCTCTATATTACATTTCTGTCTGTGTTAAGATTTCATTCTATGGGGCTGGAAGGTGGCTTGGTGGTTAAGGGTGCTGGACTCCTACATGGCTGGACTCCTACATGGTTCAAGTACCAGACCTGGCAGCTCACTTTCTCACTTTCCCTCTCTTTCTTTATCTCCCTCTGGTCAAATATAATAATAATAATAATAAATAGTTAAATAAAATTTATCCTTAAAAAAATTTTCATTCTAATCAACCCCACAACAAATCTCAAGTTACATACATACCTGAGTAGGAAGATAGATGTAGAGGCTTCAGAATCTGTCTCTATTTTTTCTTTCTTATACTATTCCAGAGTCTAAACTAAAATACCTACCAAAGTGAAAAAAATCACTTCTTAAAAAAAGTCCTTTAGACAACAATATCCAAACAACAAACTGAATCCTAATTTTGGTGCTTTTTCATTTCCCAATAATAAACAGATAAATTAATGAACAAGAACCATATATTTATTACAAACCTGTGCTGGCGGTACTTGCAATGGATTGTTATCCAGAATAATTACTTGTAAATGATGCAACTTCCTGTAACAAACTGGAATTTCTGTCACTTTGTTACAGGAGAAATCCAACTTGACTAAGGGAAGATCTCCTAATTCTGTTCAAAAATAAAAAATAAGTAAATTAAATTTTACATAGTATCTGTCTTATTTGTATGAATAACAATAGAGAACATCTTCATCTTACCATCTGGCAAAACATGAAGATTATTTCTTCTTATATTTAGCTCTCGAAGTGAATGTAATTTTCCCATTTGTTGGGGAAGGACCTGAATCTCATTGCAGTTCAAAAATAAAAAATAAGTAAATTATATTTTACATAGTATCTGTCTTATTTGTATTAATAACAATAGAGAACATCTTCATCTTACCATCTGGCAAAACATGAAGATTATTTCTTCTTATATTTAGCTCTCGAAGTGAATGTAATTTTCCCATTTGTTGGGGAAGGACCTGAATCTCATTGCAGCTAATATCCTAAGAAAAACGAAATGAAATTATAACTAACTGAAAAATACAGTCATAGTCTACTTCTTAAATTCATGCACATGGTTAATAGCTAGCAGAAGTTATCTCTCCTGTCATTTCTCCAAAGACAAATTATCTGACAGATTTCTATTTGTATTACACAAAGTCAACTTAGCACAGTTGACAGAAAATTTTCTGTGTAAAATTTGAGGTTATAATTTAGTAACTACCTAAGTCAATCTCTTGAAAATCTCAACTAAAGATCAATTCTCACCAACTAAAACCAAAAATTAAAATTATCCAAGTATTCTCCATGAAGAGATTAAGTAAAAGACTACCAATCATTATGATAATCTGTCAATTATATTGGTTGTTTTGGGATGCTTGGTTGGGCAGAAGCTAAAAAAGTGAACGATTTACAGATGTGAAAACCAAAGACAGAACCAATTGAACTAAATCACTTTCGCCAAAGGGCTATAAAATGTGAAGGATTACAAGATCAAACATTTGTGGCTCACATCACAACTCAAAAGGCACTCTAAAAGCTCTGAATCGGAAAGTTCTCTGGGTTAAACCAAAATACAAGTCCTAATTTAAATGCAATCAATACCAAGTTTCCACAATAAGAAAATAAAGAACGGTTTAAGTTAACCGTGCCCTCCTCTCCCTCACCTCTTTCTTATACCACATTAACAAAAAGAGAAATCTGCAGTGATCTCAGAGAGCAGTTATTCCAACATACTGTGAATCAAAGTCATATTATACTACAATTGCCTCTATGTTCCAGCTTTCACTGAAAATACTAGCTTAGAGGGAGGGATGTGACACATAGATTCAGTTTTATCAGAGTAAAAAAAAGGCTATTAAATGGGACCAGCAGTTAGCGTAATGGCTATGTCGTTGGACTCCCATGTAGTCGACCGCGGTTCGCGTCCCAGACCCGGTGGCTTAAACTCACCCCGGGCGTGCGTGCCCAAGATCCCGAGAGGAGAATGGAGAAGGGATTGCGGTGTGGGCATCCCCCCTGGGGGGGGTGATTTCTCGCTTTCTGTCTCTCTGTCTCTCTCTGTCTGTCTGGCGAGTGCATGTGCCCTATAGTGAAAATCTCTCCAAAAAATAACAAAAAAAAGGCTATTAAAGCCACGTAGGGAAGAATCCAATAAAGCTATAGATGATTAGGAAAATGTATCTTATGTACTTCTTTCGAATGATATCTAATTCATCATTATTCAACAACGAATCATTTACTGAATAATAACTATCTGCTAGGTGTTGCTCTATGTTGGTCTAGGGACTGGGAGCACATCAGAAAGGAATAAAATGAAAATTCCTGTTCTCATACCCCCCAATGGAGTTAACATTATAACGAGGGGAATAGATCATGTAATATGTTAGAAGGGAAAAAACAGGGCCCAGCCCCAGTGGCTCAGGTGATAGGGCACCACTGTGCGATGCTAGAGGCACATGGAAGGCTAGATTTGGATCCCAGGCCAATCTGAACAGATTGAGCATGCCCCAGCACATCTGTGATCCTGGCTAGCTGGGAGGTTAGGGGGAGGACTACAGCATGAAGACTTTGTCAAAGGCACTTGATTTCTGTCTTTTTCTCTTTCAATCTTATTCTTCCTTTCATAAGAGAGAGAAAGAGAGAGGGAAGCAAACAGAAATAAACTTTAAAAATAACAAAAAAAAAAGGGCCGCCAAGTGGCATAGTGGTTAAGGTTGCTGGACTCTCATATGCCCAAGAACAGTTTGAGTCCCGGACCTGGTGGCTTGCTTTCTCACTTTCCCTATCTCTCTCTCTCTCTCTCTCTCTGTCCCTCTGTGGTCAAATTTAAATAAACAAACAAAGTTAAATAAAATAATTATAAAATAATAATAATAACAAAAAATAAGGCCAGCAGGTGGTGTAGTGGTTAAGGTACTGGATCCCAAATAGATGACTCTACAGTTCAAGTCCTGGATTCGGTGGTTTGAAGAACATGCCAGGCACGTATGTGTGCATGCTCCAAATTCCAAAAGGCGAATGGAGGTGAAAGGATTGTAACGTGGACATCCACCCTGGAGAGTAATTTCTCACTTTCCCTCTCTTTCTCCAGTAAACACACAAGCTCTATAGCAAAAACTTAAAATAAAATAAAGAGGATCAGTCGCAGTAGTGTGCACTGGACACTGCTGCCTGGCATGGTGAAGGCACATAGGAGGCCTGGGCTGATTCCCAGCCCACCCTGGAAAGCTGAGCACGGTGACATGTATTTATAAACCTAGCTACTTGGGATGCTGAGCAGGGGGATCACAAGCTGGAGGCCAGCTTCGGCAACACAGTGAGACCCTGTCTGAAAGAGCTGGGTGTGGCAGTATACACCTGTAGTCCCAGCTACTCAGGAGGTTGAGGGAGGTGGATCATGACACGGTGAGACTCTGTCTAAAAAAGTATAAAAATAATAGCACAGGGTGGGACCAGCAGTTAGTGTAATGGTTATGTCGCTGGACTCCCACATAGTCGACCACGGTTTGCATCCCGGACCTGGTGGCTTAAACTTACGCTGGGTGCGTGTGCGTGCGTGCCCAAGAGTCCGAGAGGAGAATGGAGGAGAAGGGAATGCAGCGTGGCCATCCCTCCTGGGGGGTGATTTTTCGCTTTCTGTCTCTCTGTCTCTGTCTGTCTGGCGAGTGCACGTGCCCTATAGCAAAAAACCTCTCCAAGAAAAAGAAAAAGAAAAAAAATAATAATAGCACAGGGTAAAGGAAACGGCAATGTTAGTAGCAGTGGGCAGGAACATGGCAAGTTTAATCATCTCATAGAGAAGGTTAGGTATTTGAGCACTATTGTCAGAGCGGAGAGAGCGAGCCATGCCAATATGTAAGGGATATTACAGACAAAAGAAACCATAAATGTAAAGGCCTGCAGGTAAAGCACACCTGATGTACAGAAAAACAGCA